TCTGTTTTGTTCATTTTAGTCCTCAGAACCCAGTACTGTGCCCACTGTATAGCAGTCATCCACTTTGCTCTCCTCTGGTTCCCAAGGAATTATTTTTTGCCCCCAGCCATTTGATGTAGGATTCAACACTCACTGTTTTGTCATTGTGCCTTGCCTATTGCCTAAGTTAGAAGCATTGTAAGGACGGAAGATGTGCCAGATGCTCCTGCTGTCCCCGCACAACAGGGCTTGTCATGCTTCTTCAAAAAGGGGATGTCTCCCTACACGACGAAACACAGCAGGTTTGGCCCTCCCGGAAAACACAGACTGAAGCATCCAACATCTTACTCCACATCCTCTATCACATTGCAATCTGGACCCTGTTCCAAGTCACTGTACCGGAAAGCAGATACAGAACTGTGGGTTGTTCTTGGTAATAGAATCCCTTCCTTCATTGAGTCTCAGTGATGCATGACAGGGGTCTACTGTTAAATATTTGAAGAGCATTTCTTTGAAGAGGGGGTGAGGGAATCCCCACTTTTCAGTACTGGTTTCTGATTTCAAACTACCAATGGGCTGTCACTGACCATAAAATCAACAAGAGGTACATCCAATCTGTTCTTGGGAACTGGTAGGAATGGGCTCAGAACTGTCACCCGTTACGTACCAGACAACGTATGTGTGCAATTGAGAAGCTTTCTAGATGACTGAAAATTTCCTTTGAACTTCTAACCACCTCACCTTCCACGGAGAGCTGCCTTGTTCAATACCCAGCAATTACAACAAACTACTAGGATTTGTGGTGAGGCCTTAGGGGCATCTGTTGTAAAGCTTTCAGCCACAGGCCATTGGTCGAATGTTATGTATGTTGTGGGTGTTAGAACATAGGTTTGATAATGTTCTGGGTCACTGGTCCTCAACCCGTGGGTTGCTACCCCTTTCACTGGGGTTGCCTAAGACCAGCTGCATACCATACATTTACATTATGATTCATAACACTAGCAAAATTATGGTTATGAAGTAGCAACAAAAATAATTTTATGGTTGGGGTCACCACAGCATGGGGAACTAATTGTATTAAAGGATCACAGTACTGGGAAGGTTGAGAACCGCGGCTCTGGATGATGACAGTCACAGCCTTTTTAACTGCCTTGGTGCAGCTGAAAATTTTTTACTCAGATCTATTTCAAACAATTCCATCATTAAATGATTTCACGTTAGCTCAGTACTTACTGATGAAGCATAAACTGAACAATTTAAAGTTACTTTTTTATTATTTTCTAGCGAACCGATGCATTAGCTCATTTAATCCTTAGATCTGTCTTATGAGGCAGATTCGGCATGTTTTATAGGTGAGGAAACGGGAGTATAGGAAGGGAAGGAAGATAAATCATAGAGGGTCATCCAGCGTATTGTGAGCCATATTTTGGGGGTGACTTCTGCCGCGATCCTAGCAGCAGCAGGTTCGTATGTTTCAGGGTAGGGGCATGAGTATTAGGAATGCTAGGTTGGAAGAACAGAGATAAGAAAGACACACAGAAACACAGACTAGAACAGGAGGGCGACTCAGTGACTACTGAAAGCTCAATTCCTCTTCTGGCTTCTGAGTTCTGTGTTAACCCACGTTTAATTTTCCATAAACTTTTCGACCCTACTACCAAAGTGGGGAAGAAGGCAGAGACTACTTTAACATGATACAAAGGACAACCAGAACAGTTACTTGCTTCAATACTTGAGACATCAATCTATTAATTCCTGAGAAAAATATGTGATGTTGGGAGCAGTAAACTCACCCTAGACCAAGCATTCTGCAGGCAGTCACTCGCTAAGTCAAACCTCTTATTTCAAAAGAAGGAGCAGAAGTATGTACGAATTCTCCGACCTCTGGTCAGGGTAGAGTGGATCTACCTTCATAGGCCATCATAATGTCCAAATTGTCAAGTAACCAAACCCTAGGTCAGGATATTTTGCTTTGTAGCCACACCTTCTCTTAACAACTTTGAAAGAGCAAACATAAGCAAAAACTCTCTGACTTTCAGAAAAGGTGGAACAGGCTCACATTTTTGGGTCTCCACACAGGGCTTGAGGGAAGCCTGGGAGACTTCAGCTGCATACACATGACAAGATGCAGGGGCTGGAGTGTAACTAGATTCACCTTCCAGGCCGTGCCTAGAGCTGGGTGGGTAGACACTGGTGGTGCAAGTTCACTCTGTCTTCTTTCATCTGCCTTTAACACTCCACGGGGAGTCTGTGCACATCACGAACTGTGAGATTCTCTTGGGAGGCACTGGTCCTCAGTTGCCTCAAGACCCAGAAGAGAAGATCCTGTTTGCATTTGCACTAGCTTCCTAAGACCTGCTCTTGCAACCTGATCATACCACACCACTCATGCCATAGGACGCTGGTTACCTACCGACACCCTTCCTCCCCTTTCCCATAATAACAGTAGTTCTGGAGACAGGGTTAGCAAGACCAATAAGTCATAGCTTCCCTTCGGCTTTCTGTGGTAGGGCAGCTACTTTTCAAATGTTTGTGAGAAGTAAAGTGTTGGAGCCCAGGGATGTGGATCCGTTTCACCTTGACTAAAGGTGAGAGAGTTCAGACCTATTCTTGCTCCTTCAGGGTTACGTCAGGAGGTTTGACCCAGGGTGTGACTGCCTACAGGATGCTTGACCTAGGGTGTGGTCACTACATGTCCTCCCTAAACAACAGAATACTTTAAGGATATAGTTACTTGATGTTTCGGGTATTGAAGAAGTAATTGCCCTGTTTGTTCTTTGTATCATGGTAAAGCAGTCTCTTGCCTCCTCCTCCCCCGCCCTTTTGGATTGGGGTATATAAGCATATTGAAAGTAAACGTGGTCAGATTCCGTACTCACTGGATCGCCTTTCCAACTCTCTTCTGTGCTCTCTGCCTTTTTCTTTTCTATCTATGTTTTCTGCCTAACATTTCTGATCCACATGCCCCTACCCTGGAACATACAAACTCGTCAAGGCTGGACCCCGACAGCGAAGTGTAGAATTTCCGGGTTATGCTTCCAAAAGGAAAAGCAGAGGCTGGAGGGATGAATCAGTGGTAAACAGCTCTACCAGAGGACCCGAGTTCAATTCTCCTCACTGACAGAGTAACCATCTGTAACTCTATTGCCAGGAGATCTGATGCCTCTTCTGACCTCTGAAGGCACCAGGCATGCAAGTAGTACAGAGCCATATATGTAAGCAAAACACTCATACACTCACACACACAAAAAAAAATTAAGGAAAAACATATCCCACTTCCTATATTCTTGAACCAGATGGCATAGTTGTAAATTTGGAGATGTGTATTGAAGTCTTACCCTGACAACTGTGAAGAACATGGCAAGAGCATCATGTTGCGTTTCGCAGAGAAGAAATAAACATTTAGCTACTTTTACTTTGGTGTTCTGTGACATGACACACACAACCGCCAACGGACGCTCAGCTTATGATAGAACTATGTGCTAACTACATCTTCCAAACTGACGTCATTTATTTTCTGCTGAGGTTGACTCTAGCATCTCTGTTTCTAGATTGAGCTACTATCCCTTGTTTCTGGGCCAGCCAAAGAATGTGTTTACCCCAGTCTGTCCCCAGAAAAATGCCTTTTCCCAGTTAGTGATAAAACTCAGAGCCCTAGATTTGTCCAGGTGGAGCTCACAGCACCTGCCAATCAAGTTTGCTCTTCAGACACTTTTAATGTTGTTGATACCATGTCCTGGCTCCTCCAGTGTTCCTTCAAGTGTCTTGTTCCTTTTTCCACTTCAGAGGCAGGGGATTAAGAGTAGTGCCCTGGGAACCTGGTTCAAGATGCAGGTATACAATCCTACAGCGGAAATGACCTAAGGCCACATCCAGGGAGCTATGCTTTCTTTGCAATAAGGGGGATTAAGACAGGTTTTCCCTTTGTATCCATGGTAGGCTTTACCTTCCTAGTCCCTGAGGTTACTAATACTAATCAACATGCAACTAAACCAATAATTCATACATGAACAGCCTTTGGATGGCTGATAGGTTTTCTTGCCTGCTACATCTGTCCAGCCTAGTCTTAATGGCTGTAGGACCCAGCCATGACAAGCTCAATAGAGGCCAAGTGTCAGTAGTTTAACCTATGGCAATACCTGGTTCCAGCAAAGACCACACAGTGAGGCCAACCAGGCACCACCCAGGAACAGACTATCCAAAGGAAATTTCTAACATTCCAACCATTGTAGATAGGATCACCAGCCAGCACACACCCATAGCCTTTCACCAGGACACCCCTAGACAAATGTCAGCCAATCAGGGGTCCTGAACCTTAGAAATCCTTTACCCCAGTTTTTCTTTTATAAAAATCCCACCCCAACTGAGCTCGGGGCTCTCCAGTCACTCCAATATGCTGGACACACTGAGAGACTGAGTTTTCAAACTTGTATAAAAAGATTCTTTGCTTTTACATACAGGACTCGGTCCATCTCCTAGTTGGTTTTGGGGGAACTCCGTGATCTAGACATAACAGCAAACACATCTAGAAGCCACTCAAAATATTCCTCTAGTGCTTAAAATGGGAAGAGTTGGTTATTTTGCTTGGAATTAGCTATTTGAGCCAATGCATGCTTCCGGTTTTGAGTCTCAAAAAAGAAAAATTCAACCAAAACAGGTTGAAGAGATAGCTCAGCGGTTAAGAGTACTGACTGTTCTTTCAAAGGACCTGGGTTCAATTTCCAGCATCCACATGGTAACTCATAACTGTCTGTAACTCCGGTTCCTGGGAATCCTACACCTGTACAGATATTCATTCAGGCAAAACACTAACTCACATAGAAAGAAAGGAAGGAAGGGAAGGAGGGAGGGAGGGAGGGAGGGAGGGAGGGAAGGAGAGAGAGAAAGCTGGACAGTGGTGGCACACTTCTTTAATCCTAGCACTTGAGAGGCAGATACAGATATATCGTTCTGAGTTCGAGGTCAGTCTGATCTATAAAGTAAGTTCCAGAATCGACAAGACTGCAGCAGAGAAACCCTGTCTTGAAAAACAAAACAAACAAAAAAACCCAGCTAACAAAGAATTCACTTTTGGTAAAATTTAAACACATTTTCTCTGGAATATTTATAATATTTTTCATTCTAATGAGGGATAAAATACTAAATCAAAAGATTTATCTAGATGTTTTAAAAATATTTAGAATGGATCGATAGTAGCACATATATGATTACAAGTGGGTAAATGTATCTATCGTATGTGAGCAAATGTTCTATTGTTGCTTATAAGATATAAAAGTAATTTTCAAGATCTCTGGTCTGAGAGAACCGGCGTGGTGCTTTTCAAGGATGCCTTTAAGCATTCTGTTCTGTGCCCTGCGGCGTCTTCCACAGAGTGCCATCTGGTGGTGAGTCCTTCTGCCTTCGGGGCTGGGTTCTCAGCCATTGTATTGAAAGGGGTGAAGGGCTGGGATGCTCCAGGCCGGAGGGAAAATTTAGCGGCTCTGCTCGTGGGAAGGAAGGAAAGACAGAATGAAATTCCACCAATCCAAGGGAAACAAAAGGCGGGGGGGGGGGGGGGGGGGTGAGGGAGAGAACTGGAGGGAAATGTGGACCAGGTGAGCATAGAGGAAGAGAGAAGCCACAAATTGTACTCGAGGGCGCAGTGCCATTTGTTGCAAAGGAAGTCACCATGGCTCGGGATAGATAGTGGAGGGCACATTTACCACTGCAAACACGAAAGCCAGGGTGTGGGTTAGCTGCAGAAGCGGCTCCGGTCGCGCATCCGCGTCCCTTTTGTCTGGAGCCAGGGTGGGGTTCTAACAGAGAATACTGGCTCTTTATGGCTAACCTTCATCTCCCCGGAAAGGGATGATCTTTAGAAAACAGCAACAAAAACTTGCTTCCTAAACCACATCAAACAGCCCGAGACTCTCCCACTCCGCAGGCAGTGACGTGATTTTTCTCCTCTCTTGATCTAATCTTGTTCATCCTTGAAACAACAGCTCCCCTGGGGGAATTCTGGTGGCCAAAAAAAAAAAAAAAAAAAAAATTGTTAGAGGAGGACAGCATTTCTCTTGGCCAGCTCAAGGTCACTCACTCACTGTAGCGTCAGAGGTGGCAGCTCCCTGGGATCACAGAAGTGCACAATGACAATTATGTCTCTCAGTAGCTGTCTGTGTCCTTAATCTGCCCGGTGAGGGAAACACATTTGGCCTGGGATGATGTGTCAGCACTTTAAGATGCACTGGGAGTTGAAGTCTTATCCCCAAAGTCTACCCACCCAACCACTCCCTGTTTCTGAGAAGACAAGATTAGTTCTGAAGAGCTGGAGAGAAGAGACCGAGACAGAGATGCTCAGAAAGGGAAGGAGGGGGAGCTCAGAGAAGACAGCCGGTCCTAGCCCTCAAGGCCAGGCAGCTGGAGGCCGGAGCCTCCACAGAATAGCAAGTAGGAGTGGGCAGAGGAGAGGGCTGGAAGGAGGGCCCTGCAGAGCAAAGGCGTGAAGGCGTTGGTGTCTTCAGGGTGCTGTGACAGCACGGTGGAAGGGTGTGGGAGAGCAGGCCAGCTGTACTGACAACAAAGCCCCAAAGAAGGAGGAACCGGTCATGAGCAACTGTCAGGTTCCTGCCCATATTTCAAAGACCGGTGACAACGGAAAGCCACGTGGGATTGTGTGGGGGCTGGGGCTCGGCCCTCAGGATTTGTGGACAGCCTCTTGTTTGCCACAGAAAGACAGGTCAAGCGTCCTTTACCTGAGAGTGAGTGGTAGGCAGGACAAAAAAAAAAAAAAATATCTATTATTTCTCCCGCTTAGCTTCACCTGGGTCCCCGGCAATGGGAGTCTGCACTAAGAGGGAAGGTGAGGCAGGGCGATAGTGCGAGCAGGAGCAAGCGCGTGCCAACTCACAATGAATAAGCAAAATTGGTCAAGACAACCGTCAGCGGACCAAAAGCACTGTAACTAAGGACGGTACTCCTAGCCAATCATACACACCAGCAACGATCACCAGTTTCAAAAGGACCAACCAAAAAAAAAGTTCCTGCGGCAGCCTCTAACCCCATAAAAACCCCAGACCCTTTTACAATAAAGAGCTTTTACATTGAAATCTCTCAGAGTCTGTGTCGTTGCCTCCACGTTTTCTCACCCCCGACCCCCAGGAAACAGGGATTGCACAAGAGGCAGCAGCAACCACCGCAACAGGAAGGGAGCTGAATTGGCCTTCAGGGCTCCTGGTTCGTTGCCCCTCATGAGGCTTAGAGTTTTTGATGGGGCTTGTAACTTCTCTGGTCTCGTTTCTATCTGGGCACGCCGGTACTTAGTCTGCGGTAGTCACACCGCCTTTTCTGAGCAAGGACCATATGGCTCACTTCTCCAAGTACACGAAGTGGGCAGCATCATTTGGTGCTACCATCATTTCACGTACAGAAAGGGCAAGCACAGAAGCGTCAAAGCCCAAGGACACTCAGTAGGAGGGAGCTGGAAAAACCGGTCAACACTCATAGCAGTTGACGACCAGAGTCCAAGTTCCTATGCTTTCGTCTGCTCCCAGGAATGCGTAAATCACTGTGTTGTTGTTGTTGTTTGGGTTTTCTTTCTTTCTTTCTTTCTTTTTTGTTTTGTCTGAAAAAATGAGGGTTTTAGGCTCCATGCTCTCTGAGGTTGCTTCTATTCCTAGGATTTGAAAAGTCCACCACGCAATGTCTTGGAAAGATGGCATGAACCAGGGCACACCTCACACCAGTGTCTGGGTTGTGCTCTTGCACACCGAAGGGGAATCAGAAATCCCCCATCATTCTCCCTATTCCTTCAGCCATGGCGCCACTCCTACCAGCCCCCAGCAGAAGACACAGCAATGGCAGGTACCTGAGCATAGAGGCCAGAGTTTGTAGCAATAAGAAACAAGGATAGAAACCTAGATTAGGGACAGCCTCTGTGTTGTGGATGTCGGATGTCTGTGCACTGTGTGAAGGTGCATTGCTGTGATTGGTGTAATAAAGAGCTCAATGGCCAATAGCTAGGCAGGAGGTATAGGCAGGACTTCTGAGGAAGGAAAGGAAGATAAGGAGGAATCTAGGTGTGCAGGAGATGCCAGGAGACACAGAGAGGAAGCAGGAGGAATAGGTGCAAGAGAAGTAATGCCAGGTGATAGAACTTAGATTAATATGAATGGGCTAATTTAAGTTATAAGAGCTAATTAGGAATAAACCTAAGCTATCGGCCAAGCATTCATAATGAATAATAAGTCTCTGGATCATTTTTTGTGAGCTGGCAACCCAGAGGAAATTCCATCCACCCTAGTGGACTTGTCCTGGAAAAGATACACACATTTTTCTAAATTGAACCTGAGCAGACTTGTGTGCTGTGTGGTTTGATGTGCACTGTGCTCCAACTCTAGGCTCTGCAATTCCAAATCACCTTCCAAAACACAACCCATGAATCTCTCTTCTTTAATTTTCTAACCAGAAATGCCGCAAGGGGGCAACTGACTGTGTGTATGGCCAGTCAACTAAATCTTCTGTCTGTCCATCCATCCATCTATCCATCCATCCATCCATCCATCCATCCATCCATCCATCCACCCTCTACCTACCTGTCATCCAGCTTATCCACTAGAATGCACACACATGTTGTGCCCTTTACGTGAAAGCATCTTAGCGCCATCCCTTCCAGGAGTACCCGTCGGCAATGCCCACTGTGAAAAGCTGCAGTTTGGGGCCACTTGAACTCAAGAAAAGACCATCAGAGACCAGCTCTAGCTGCCTTCACACAGCAGCCTGAAATCAAGGAGGGGCACAGATCTTAGGCTGAGGATGTCCTGCTGGGCCAGGCCACCAGGCATTCCAACCTGACCAGAGAGCTCCCTCTGGTGGCTCTTTGGTGCACGTTCTTCAGAAATTTGAAATGAAGCAATGCCAAGACCAGTACACAGGAGTGATTGTTAGATCTCAGATCAGATTCTTTTGTTGATAAAAACAGTGAGTATTGGTTATATTGAGCCCTCCCCGCATGCAAGATCCTAAGTGCATTGATTCTCCCAGTAACCACACGAGGCAAGGAGGTTCTCTAGTGGACCAAGATCACCAAGAAAGTGAGTTGAGGAGCAGATGCTCCAGCAACAGCAAAGCTGTGCTCTAGACATGGCCCAGCCATCCCTCCCACCCCCACCCTTCGGGCAGCGCACGGAACCATGATCTGCCAGTATGCCTATCAGCCAATCAGCACGCAAAACAGGCAGTCCACCTACTCAGCAGGACACTTCGGTTTCTTCACAAATCACCACTGAAGATCAAGTTTACTCACCTTTGCTGTCAAAGCCTGTTCGCGTTACAAGACAGTCACCTTAAAAGAGTTTTCAGCTACGTTTTGCTACTATTGTCAAAACTCTAAGCCTATTTTCTGTTTGCAGATATGTCTACATATATTCTGTTAGATAAAAACAATATAAAGATTGAATTACTGTTTCTTCTTTCTCCTCAAGACAGTGTTTAGAGAAACTTAATGGATTCTGGGGCTTTTGAAAGTTCTCCCAAATAAAGGCGGAACGTGTTTTTGTCCTGCTTCCCCCATAATCTGGAACATTAAATTCCTGAGGTTTGAAAGTACTCTGCTCCGGGAGCCAAAAGCTAATCAAGCTTGCATCTGGCTCGGCCGCTAGCAGCTGTCTGACCTAGGCAGGCAGTTCATGTTTCTGGAGCCCAGTTTTCTTATCTATAAAATAGAAGAATTCCACCCGATGAATGTTACGCCTCCTACTAGCTGGAGTATTAAATTCGGCGGTTTGTGAGAGAAAATGTATGAACAACGCAGTAATGATTAGCAGGTGTGGAAACCTCTCCCCAGAGCTAAGCAACATACACTCTACTCCCCGGATGCGGCTGTGCTAGCCTTGCCGTTCCTCCCATCCTGCGCGAAATGGGCAGCTGGGTTTGACGTTGCAATCCTGAATCTAATCATGAAAACGAAACCAAATCTTCCCTATCCCTCTGTTCCATCTCTAAGTACTTTGTTAGGACAAGAAGAGCTGAGATGGGCCTTCTTGTCCCTCAGACAGCATGTCCGTGTGCTCTTTTTATAAACCCTGTACAGCGGAAGGTCCTCGTCATCTGAGTGGTACTGTAGCTGAGCCATGCCACTTGAGAACGAATTTTCCCTTTGTTAATGTGAGAACTCGGCCTGCTAGGAAAACCAGCAAATCCCTAACCTATGAATAGTCCTGTCTGTGCCATGCCTCAGAGTTAACCATCATAGGTGGTGAGGGCAAGAAGCCAGCCACAGCATTTCTCTTGAAATCACTAATGAGCAGGGACGGGGCAGGGTGGAGGGGAAGGAGGATCCACGACTTCCTGAAGACCCAAACTGAGCCATGAATTCTCCTAATTTGCAAGTGATCTGCTTTTACTGAGTCATTATTACTATTTTTAAAATCAACTTCCGGGGAAATAACCTTAATGATTGGAAGCAAAGAAACCAACTTCCCAGTGAAGCTTGTTTCTCCTTAGACCCCAAGTGAAAAACTTGAGCAAGAGTTCTGTCTGGTTCTCCCACTCAAGCCTCTTCCTACCTAGCTATTGACCATTTAGCTCTTTATTAAACCAATGAGAGCAACCCACCTTCATATCTTCACAGTGTCCAGAAAGATTATTCACTAACACATCTGAAGCATACACTTTCCCTGAGCCTTGAGCCATGTTGCTTGATTGAAAACAGAAAAAGGAGAGGACAGGCCTGCTCCTAGGTATGGTGAGGAGAACGTTTATTGTAGATAAAAGGGAGAGCGTAGGGAGAGGCAGGGACATCTGGGAGAGTCTAGAGTGGACGACCAGACTGAGCTGGGCCATGTGGGAAGAGAGAGAGGGGAAGGAAGAGAGGAGAGAGGGGAACCAGGTGCAGCAGTCAGGAGGCTAAAGGTTCAAAGGGGTAGGTAACCAAACTGTCTGGATTCTATAGGGATGAGCCTTTCGGGGAAGGGCAGCCCTGCACCTGGACTGGATAGTTCAGGGTAGAGGGTGGGGTATGTCAGCCCTACCTAAGGTAGGGACCGAGGGATGCTGGGAGAACCTGGAGGCCATAGTTAACATTTGATGTGTTAAATATGCACCTCAGCCTTTGCCCAGGGTTTGAAACTTTACCTTTTGACAGTGACTTTATTTCTTGGCAGTAGCTTTCCTTCTAGCAGATTTTCCTTTTTAATGATTTGCCTTATTAGGAAAAGGTGGGGTCTCTTGAGTCTCTCTCCTCCATGACAGGTTGTTGATAGCCCAAAGTTATGCAGGCGACCACAGCCACTGTGAGCCTGAAAGACCGTGTTCTGCAGCGCCCCGCCCCTTCCCCAGACTCTTGTACTCTCTATTGTCCCCTGAGTCTAGGTGGGGATGATAAGATCCAGTTGAGGGGTGAACACTGCAGGTTTTTTCTTATCATTTTGACAAGTTATAAGTCTCTAGAAGATCCTCTTCTACGGCTTCTATTCTCCCCAGGCTCCATCAACACCAAACCCTTCTTTTATCTCTTCAGGTCGAGAGGTGGCTCAGGATTCCCTTTGTTGAAAGTTCATGTTGCTAGTTTTACCAACTTTGGTTCCATTCATCCATGTACACCTTTAAAGAAAATCTTTTCATATGGCGGACGGCCCAGTGGGTAAAGCACTGGCCATGTAAAGCAGATAATTTGACTGGGTCCCAAGAACCCACATGAAGGTGGAAGGGGAGGATCAACTCTACAGGCTGTCTTCTCACTTCTCACATGATAATGCAGACAGCCATGCCCACACGTGCTTCACACACACACACACACACACACACACAGAGAGAGAGAGAGAGAGAGAGAGAGAGAGAGAGAGAGAGATATTACAGGAGGGGGCAGGACATTTCAACTCCATTCATCAAGTCAGTTTGTACAGACATTTGAAGCACATTTATCAAGATTTGGAACTGAGAGCTGTAGAGAAGAGAGATGTTAGTTTTATTACTGTGCTTATTAATATTATTTGCTATAAATGGTTAAGAATTCTGTCAAAAACTTAGGAGTGGGAAGCATGAGAAGGCAAAGGAAAGGTGGTGGCCATCCAAGGAGGAACAGACTATGACCTTGTGAGGACCTGACTTTACAAACTCCATTTTAAAGAAGGGGCTTCATCTGAAGTCATATGAGTGGGGGCTGATCTCAGCTCCAGAAATTCTGCGGCAACAGCAGAATTTGAACGGATACCCTGAAAGTAGCCAATTAAGGAGCTAGGGAGCAGGGTCATAAAATTTGACAAGGTCCAGATGTTTCTAAGAGGCATCCTGTCCTTGAAGAAACCTTGTCAGTTGTTAATGGCTCTGTGTTAGGATTTTTGCGCCCCCAAACTGACCAATGGTTTCAGAAACTACCTTACTCTATACACTTCTTACCCAATCCCAAGAAAACAGAGCATAAGCTCTCCTGATCATGACATTTGCCCCTTCCCCAGGCTCGGTGCTGCGCTTCCCCCACCCACTACGTTGCTGTGGTGGTAGAGTCCAAACTCAAGTTTGAATATTAAAAACCCTCTTGTGTTTTACACTGCAATCTTGTTCGGTGGAGTTTCTTTTGGGGTTAACTAACTTGGGCGTTAACAACCTGTGGATCTGGGGGGGGGGGTAGGTGTTGGCAATGGAACACGAACCTGGAAAGAGTCTGCTGTTACTAGAAGTTTGGGGAAGTGCCTCCTGTATTTCCACTCAAATTTCTCAGTCTCATTCGTAAAAGTATTTAAAATGAACTCAAAAGCTTGAGGATCATTTTATTAGGTGTAGTATGTGGGCCAGCTTGTTGGAGTTTCTATCCCACCCAGTACCCCAACAAGCCAGCAAGTCCCAAGGAAAATCACATGGAGATCTCTATAAGTTATAAAGCTGATTGGCCCATTAGGTCAGGCTTCTTATTAGTTCTTGTAACTTATATTAATCCATTATCATTATCTATGTTAGCCATAATGGCTCAGTACCTTTCTCAGTGTGACAGCTTACATGTTGCCTCTTCAGTGGTCCGCGCAGGAGTGACAGAGGAACCTCCCTTCTTCCCAGAATTCTCATGTTCTCATTGCATCACCTCTACTTCCTGTCTGGTTTTCCCACCTATACTGCCTGCCTGGCCAATCAGCGTTTTATTAAAATGTGATTGACAGAATACAGACAATTCTCCCACATCAATTAGGGTTTAAAAGAAAAGGCCTGGGTGGACACACAAGCTGAGAATCTCGACAGCTGCCCGGAAGAGGGAAAAGAGATGGGAAATCCTTGCCGTTTGAGGTAAACCAGTATGAGGTCAGCCACATGGCTGGGAAGATGGCTTCAAGAAAAGCAGAAAAACCTGAAAAGTACCAGGGGGAAGGGTGCACAGGCTTTTGGGCCAGCACTGGAAAGTAATGCTTGTCTGAGTAATTCGGAAAAGGGAGCAGGCTTAACTCACCCGTGTGGCTGCGGCTTCATGGGTGATGGTATTAGTGCAGGACTTCTGGGAAAGAAACTGTCTCATTAACATGCTAGCTCTTCCTTTCACCTCTTTCACCGATGAATCTGATTTCCTGAAGAATAATCCCTTGACCAGGCAATCAGCTGTCCTGAACAGATTAACTGTGGAGGAGACAATGGCACATCTCCTCCAAGAGGTGGACTCCATCCTTTGGATCGAAGCAGAGAGCTTTCCCTCCATAGGCCTCAGGCACTTGGATAACATCGTGAGTCTATTACAGATGCCAAGATGAGGGACTGTATTAGAACCTCTGCTCGTGAGAACCACGGATGACTTTGGAGTACAGCAGAAACCAATGGTTATTCATTTGAGAGACAGGGAAACTACATAAAAGGAGAATTGAGGTATCCACCCAACAAAGCAAACGAAGCAGAGGTGCAGATGTCTAAGGATAAATCCTTGGGTGCAAAACAGTAGGAAACAGGTAGCGAGCGCCAGTGTCTGTATCCAGATTCATCTTCACGACACATCTTCACAACAGCCGTTGAGGCAGTATGACCAACTTTTTCTGCCAACAGAGAAAGCGAGGGGCAGAATCTAATTAATGAATAATAAGAGAAGAAAAAGGAAAAGAAAGGGATTGCTCGTAGGTACAGTGGAGGAAAAGGGTTATAGATTAAAGGGAGAGAATAGGTAGAGGCTGGGACATCTGGGAGATTCCAGAAGGTGCTGGGACCTGTGCAGAAACGGGGAGTGGAAGGGAGAAGCTGGAGAGGGCGAATAGGTGCAGCAGTCAGGGGGTTTAAGGTACAAAAGGAGTGGGTAACCAAAATGACTACACTTATATAGGGAGGAGCCTCTGGGGGAAGGGAGCCCAGTGCTGTGCTCAGGGTAGAGGGTGGGGCCTGTTAGCAATACCCTGCAATAGGTAGGTAGGGACTTAGATGCTGGGAGAACTTGGCAGCCAGGTCCTCTTTGAGATTTTTTTTTTTTAATGCCTAAACATTTGATTACTTTAAATTGGGGGAAGCAGTTGCTTTCCCAGATAGCACACATCTGCAGAGGCAGTGCCTCTGACAGTGGACAGGGATGCCCGGGACACGTGCTGCCTGTACCCTGTGCGGAGAGTGGCTGGCTTGGAACACAGGTTCTCTGCACCTAGGATGGCCATAGCAAATTCGTTCATCCGTGGCAGGTTGGCTATGTACCTTCGGATTGGCATGGTGAACACAGTGTGTGTTTTAGGGTTTTTTTGCTATTGTAGAAATCCTCTGGTGACAGACAGGCCATCTCGCTGGATTTTGGGCACATCTATGGTGAATCCCCAATTTCACCTCCAGAATCCATCCAACAGAGCTCATGAGGTCCTGTTCTTGAGCGATTTGTCAGGCATGAAGTGTCTGCTCACCACTGAACCTTGGCTTTGTGTCCTGGCTGCTAAGCCCTTGAGATTTTTGGGGGGAGTTCTCTTGTTCTTTGACTTTGGGGATCAAAATTGAAAATATTAGGCTTTTTGTCCTGTGCCCAAAGTTCTTTTGAGAGTCATTTGACTTGTCCACTTGGCCAGGAATTGTCCCTGTTAGACATTTGTCCTGCCTGGGACTTCTAGTGTCTCTTCTATTATTTTTGATCAAAGGTATGGCAATGTTGTGCTTCCTGGGGTTGTCATATCGTGGTGGGTGTTTCCTTCTTTAGACAGGAAAGTATTCCTGTTGTCCTGGAAGGGTGACTTGGTTGTAGCAGGCATAGTCTTGAAGCTGGACTGAGGCGCCCTGGAGGCCAGGATAACTGCAGCAAGCAGAACCTCGGGGGCACAGTCCTGCAGGATGACACCAGTGGCTGGGCAGTGAGATGTGCTCAGGCCGGAGTCTTCTGGATCCTGGGAATAACTCTCCAGCCATTCACTGTTTTGAGACTTCCTCATCTCCCCAGATTCCAAGGGGAGTGCGCACTCACGGAACTCCTCCTCTTCTGCGTCCTCCAGTTCCCTGGTATCCCTGCTGCTTGGTGACTGGGATGCCACACTGATCTCCTGAACTGACACCCTTTGTACATATCTCCTAAAGCCAAATCCTCACTCTCCTGTGACTCACAGACACCCTTGACTAGGCCCGGATTTGGCTCTGAATTCTCTCTTCAAACTCCAACGACACTATGCCAGGCTCTGCCCACAAGATTCTGTGGGGTGGACACGAAAGTCATACTGTCCTCCTGGACAGATGTAGAGTTGTCACTATGTGGAGCCTCTCAGCAATTCTAGCTGGAGGCAGGATTCCACAGTGAATGGTGCTTTTTTTGTTTTGTTTTGTTTTTATTTTTGTCACTTTCTTTTTCTGGAGCTTCCTTAAAAGGTTCGCCCCGGGCACTGGCCATTTGGACTATGGAGTCATCTCTAGAGTACCAGGACAGACAGGCATTGGAGGACTGTGGAAATGCAAAGCCATAGCTGCCTTCGTGTTTAAAACACGGTCTTGAGGCCTCTGAGGGGCAGGCTCCATCTGCGCCTCACCAGGCATCTTGTAACGTGCTTCTAGCACTTTCTGATCTAGGGAGGAAGGGCCATTCTAAGTTTTCTTGCTGGTGGTTGAATCATTGAAGGATGGTTTTTTCCAAGTTTCCATATTTGGCTTTGAAATTTCAGGAGGGATCAACACATGGTCTTCACATATTCCATGACAAATGCCCATGGGTACCTTAACTGCTGTTGGTTTGCCTCCACTTATTTCAGTGGTTTCTCAGGGTGCCTTCTAGTTGTTTCTTTCCTGGTCCCACCGGGCAATCTCTTCACCCATCACTTCTTGCGTGTCTCATTCAGCAAGTTTTCATCTCTGTCTCAGAGACGGCCTCGAGAACTTTGCCTAGGAAACCTTCCAGGCTCCTGTAGAGATCTTTCAGAGCTCTTCCCTTGCATGGGGCCCTCCACAGATGGAACATCTCTAAACCCTTTAACGAGACACTCTGTGAAAGCTGGCTGCTTTTGTCTGTCTGTGCTGAGGGACATGAAGTCCCATAATTATCTTCTGTCGGACCTAGATCCAGAGATAGCTTGAGCTTGCTGAGGGACCATTCACCCTGCTGCTGTGTGAACCCCTTTTTAAAATATTCTTTCAGCTTCTCCCATTGCTCAGGATTAATCAAATCTTCTGAGAGGCAGACAACAGAGCCCTGGCCCCGGGAGGTCCAACTGTTGGACACTAGTTGATTAAATGCTTCCTGTGTATTTTTAACTATGGCAGGTAAATGGTTCCTACTTCCTAGGTGCTTCTTCAAAAGGTGGCTCTCTAGGTGCCGAACAGCAGGTGGGACAATTAATTGGGATCTTGAAGCTGGAGGGCAGGAAGCCCCATAATCCCTAATTGGGGCTGAAGGATGTGGTAGCTTGGGGAGAGAGGATGGGTCATGGGTCTGGGTTTGGATTCCAGCCACTGGTGGAGATTGGGACCAGGACAACCTCCCAGTTAAAGGCTGGAATTCGACTGAATGACGAAGCAAGGGCTTTGGAGGAAAGAGCTGTGCAGGTATGTTAGCCCAAACTTCTACTGGGATGGAAGTAAAGAGACCATTGAACAAGATGGAGGGGCTGACTAGTGGGGACCTTGCCATGTTGACAGGAGCCACAAGGACTCACTGTGGAGAATGGGGTGGCCCCAGAAAAACTGGCTACATTTATCTCAATTCATTGGCTAAGACCGCCTGGTAAAAGAACTGCTGATGACCTGTAAACTGCTCTAATTGGCAGTTCCTGCTCCAGAAGGGACGTGAGGTGGCGGTGGCCTGCTCCCTGCTCCAGGGCTATGGCATATGGTCCATACAGCCCAAGGCATGGTTAGATCTTTCTTTTCCTTTCCCCTTCCAAACATTGACTTCTTCCTAATCTGAACTTCTAGCATCTGATGGACATCAGGGTTGATGAAAGAGGGTTCCCCGGCCTCTATCTGCCTGTCTGTGGGTCCTGTCCAGAACAAGGCCTCTTGGATGGTGAGAGAGAGATCCTCTTGCAAGGACTTACCATGTGATAAATTAGAGTGGCACCAGGTTTTGACAGCTCCCTGGTACCTGGAAGGGCCTAAGGTAGGCCTACTTGAGTAGTCCAGGCCTCAGGTGGCTGAGGTAGGTCTCCGTGCATGGTCAAGGCCTGGGTGGTTGAGGTAGGCTTCAATGCATGGTCAAGGCCTGGGTGGTTGAGGTAGGCTTCAATGCATGGTCAAGGCCTAGGGTGGTTGAGATAAGCCTGCTTGAAAGGTCAAGGCCTGGGGTAGTTGAGATAGTCCTGCTTGAAGGGTTAAGGCCTGGGATGGTTGAGGTAGGCCTGCTTGAAGGGTCAAGGCCTGGGTTGGTTGTGGTAGTATTCCTTGAGTGGACAAGGCCTGTGGTGGTTGAAGCAGGCCTTTTTGAGTAGTCAAGATCTGGGATGGTCGAGATGGGAGAAGAAAAACCTGGCAGAGGAGTGCTCTGTGAGGTTTCCAGTGCTTTCCAGTCACGCCAAGTACCCGCCATGCTGCATTCTGACATGGGTGGGGAACAAGCCCCAGAATCAGCAGAATGAGAAAGTCGGGAAGGTGCCCACGGTGGTGAGCAGCATCTTCTTGAAGTCAAGGTCTCTGCTGGCTGAGAGGCACTCATCGTCAATTGTGACTTCGTGGAAACTAAAAAATTCAGCAGGACAGGTGACAAGATTTTAGAATCTTTGGGCAGCAGCCAGTCCTTGAGAGGAGCAGAAGAAGCCACTAGGGATAAATTGGCAGCCACAGACTCCTAGGTGGCAGGTGGGCTTTGGTAGCTTCTGGTTTGGATGCTTCACCCGAGGCATCTTGTCCTAAGAGCTGGCAAAGGCTGATGGTATTGACAAGCCTTCCTAATGTGCTGTGGGAGACAGGAGATACGAGTGGAGCCAGGAGGCCAGGAGGGTCATGGGGTCAGGAGGCCAGGCAAGCTGAGTAGGGAAGGACCCTTGCAGCCCAGAACAACCACTGTTCCACACTCTGTAACGACCTTGTTACCTTCACCTCTGGCACTGTACTCGTATCCCACCCATCCAAAGGGCCCGTATCCCCAAGAAAACCTTATGCTGTGGTCAGGGAACAGAAGTGAGGAGCCAGAGAGAACCCGAGATGGCTCACCTGTGCAGAAGTAAAACCAGTGCCTTGTCTTCTTTCGGTTTCTCCCTGCTGCCTCTGGAAGATGGAAATGGAGACGGAGTTATGGTGGGTATAGGAGGGACCCGGTATCTTACCAGAGACTGAACGAACTCTCTTTTTCAGTGGAAATGAACAGTTAAATAGGAGCTCAGTCATCCGTGAGCGAGGCGCATGTTGGGCAGGATTGTGCTATGGACCAAGCGCTTCCACTTCTAACAACTTCCATGGGCTTCCTTGTGGAAGGGAGGGAAAGACCGGTGCTCTGAAAGAAGAAAATGTCTCAGAGAAGTCTAACAACCAATTTGCCTCCAAATCCAGGCAGCATGGTGCTCCTTCCTCCCACACCATCCCTCCCCACACAGCACCCAGCCCTGGACGTCCATAGCTTCATTCCATTCTGAGCACAGAAGTGATCCCCGGAAGTGTCTTCAATTCTGGGTTCCTCCCCAGAAGTCACCTCTTCAGGGGGCTGGAGGTTCTGCAACTCATTGGTGTTATCACTGGGGCTGGGGGATCATGGGAGTTGAAGTCATCTCGCCAGGGGAAGGAAGTAGGATCCTGATTTTCTTCTCCTGACCTTTCTGTGTTTCATCTTCACCACCTGACAGAGAGAGACAGCACCTACAGCCCCATTCACGCATCTATAATGTGGGCAAATACGGGTTCTTTTTCTCTCGGCAAACACAAGTGGGGGCTGTTTCTGTGAGATCCACCCTGGATGTCATTGATCAATGTTCTTCTTCTGAGGAATAGAGTTTCAGCTCTAAACTACCAGCAGTTACACCCTTCCTAACAGCTCCACTGACCCTATAAACACGTATGTTAGAGGGGGACATACGTCCCTAACCATCCCAGGAACATTTTCCTGACCACCAAGTCACAAGGCCTCTCCCAGGTAAAGGTGGTCTGTGAGCAGACATCTTGGAGCCCACTCTTCCCTCTGCCCTACCTGACAGTTCTCAAGAGGATGGGGTCCTGCTCTCAACTGAGATCCCCTGTCAGCCACCTCACTATCTGACTTGGTAAGGGAAGCCTATAAAAGGACACAGAGGGAACGCTTCTCTGCTGGTCCGGGGCTAAGGTGTTCTTACCCTTTGGGTGGTGGTGTTTTCTGCTGGTGGAGGAGGGGTAATAATAGGTGGAAGAGCCCCAGCCCACACACAAAGGCAAAGATCACATCCATCGTCCAATTGGAGAAGCTGGGGGTCAGCCATGAAGGATCAACGCTTTCCAGAAGAGAGAAAATTCTCCATCTGAATCGCACTGTTGCTCTCAGGCAACTGAACGCTGAGAGTTCTCTCTGGAATTGGCAGCTGGGCCCAGGCCTGCATCACAGAGCTCCTTGTCTCCCTGTCACAAAGGACTCCTGAATGTGGGGGAAGGGCAGGAAAAGCTGACCAATCACTCCCTGTCCTCCAGTCTTCACATGGGCTCCATTCTCCTCAACCTTTTGTGTCTGTTTCCAATTCCATCTGCACACTCCATCAGAAATAGAGTCCTGTCCATTTTCTCGTCTTCTACTACCCCCAGAGAGAGGCTTGTCCATGTTCTGTGGGCTTTTGAGACCTCTAATCCACTTCCGGTGACATACCTCCTCCAAAAGGCCCCACCTCCTAATCCCTTCCAGAAGTTCTACCAACTGGAGACCAAGCACTCATATATATGAGCCTGTGGGGGTTGATTCCAACCACACATTCCATTCTCTGGCCCTCCACAGGCTTGCTGCTATATCATAAAGCCGAATTCACTTTGTCAAACTTCAAAAGTCCCCGTAGGCTATCACAGTCTCAAGACTATGTCAAAGTCCAAAATTTCTTCCGAGACTCAAGGCAATCTCTCCATTGTAACGGGCAAGTAAAAGCAAAACTCAAATTCCATGTTTCCACATACAATGTCACAGAATACACATTCCCATTTGCAAAGGGAGGAAAGAGGGTGTCATGAGGAAATAAACACTGGACCAAAGCAAGACCAAAACCCAACTCGGTCCCTCCATGCCTGACATCAAAGGGCTCTTCAGTTTTCCCGGTCCTCTCAGCTTTGTTGACTGCAGCGTACTTCTTTCTCTTGGGCTGCGTCCACTCCCTGTTAGCAGCTTTCCTTAATGGGGATCCACAGCTTTGGCATCTCAAACATCTTGGGGTCTCCAAGGAAATCCAGGCTTCAGAAGCCTCACACCTTCACATATTGGCCTCTCTAGGCCTCCATGCAGGGACACCCCTGACATATTCCGGTCATGTGCTTTCCTTAAGCACAGAGGATGATCTCACAATCCCTTTATTTGTGTTTCCTTTGTGACTCTAACGCTAGAACCACATGACCAAAGTTGCCAAGTTCTGCTGCCTGCTTAGTATGAAACCTGGAACCTGGACCCTTCTTGAATTGTATTGGCCTAAGCTTTGGTTTGTTGTTGCTCTTTAGGGACAAGTCATTCCTTAAGGTCTTCTCACAAATTGCAAGATTAGCTGGCTGGGGTCTTGCTCTGAGGGGACCCTTCCCTCCACTCCATTCCTCTTTATCTCTTTCGGCACCAAACAAGACTCCAACATTACATTTATTGTGCTTTGTCCCCTCATACTGTACCTTTGAGTTTCCTTCTGCCCTGCTTGACCTTTTTCATTGTAGATGCGCGTAGCAATGATTGATCTCTAGTAACCACACAACAGAGCCAATAGTAAACTGTCTTGAAACCTTCTCTGCCTTGAATGCCTTGGCATGGGAGATCACTTCCTAAATATAATACCGGTAGCACAGACACTGAGAGCAACCATTAGTAAATGGGACCTCCTGAAACTGAGAAGCTTCTTGGCTGTATGATCAGAATGCTCCTGCAATTTGGAGGTTTAAGAGAAGACCAGTCTGATTATCCAAAGCATCAGAATTCCTTCCAGAATAAATTGGTATGCCAGAGCAACTAACTTAAGCTCTTTATGCACCGGGATTTATCTGCCAGCTCACCTTGCTCAGTCTCTAGCCTTCACATCTGTGTGGTCCAATACACAGTCATTAGTCATACATGACTGCTGACACTCACATTAAAGTGCAATTGCAAAGTCATTGCCAGTGCCTGTTATCACGTGACTGAAGTATCGAAGAGGCCCTTGGGCACACAGACTGTCCGAGTTCATGAACTTGCATAAGAATAATGGCTTTTTCTTTTTACATATGGGACTCCTCTTCCTGGTTGGCTTTTGGGGGGACTCCTTGGATCTCATACAGTGCCTGTAGCATCTCCACCAGCACCAGCTCTGCTCCCTCTTCGGCATATTAAAATAGGCAACTGAGTCATTTGTCCCAGGTCTGACACCTAACAACTTCCCTGTAGTCACAAAGGTCTGCCAGATGGAGGATTGCAAGGCACAGGCACTCTGAGATCAGAAGTTAAGGGTAGAAGTGAAGCCGGGCGGTGAAGCGAAGCAGTGGTGGCACAGGCCCTTAATCCCAGCACTCTGGAGGTGGAGGCACGTGAATCTCTATGAGTTTGAGGCCAGCCTGGTCTACAAGAACTAGTAACAGGACAGGCCCCAAAGCTACAGAGAAATCCTGTCTCGAAGAAGGAGGACGAGGAGGAGGAGAAGAAAGAAGAAGAAGAAGAAGAAGAAGAAGAAGAGGAAGAGGAAGAGGAAGAGGAAGAGGAAGAGGAAGAAGAAGAAGAAGAAGAAGAAGAAGAAGAAGAAGAGAGAAGATCTGGGCATTAGAGATAAGGAGAACTGGGTTTGAGTGAGAGGAATTTGTAGCCTCAAGTAGGCAGGGAGAAGAGATGGATGGAATCCTGGGCTGAAAAAAAAAGCAACATACAGAAGGTCAAAGGGGCAGTCGCAAAGCAGTCGAGGACAGACTGTTGGGAGTGAAAAACTTGTGCAGTGGGTTAGAATGGGAGAAGAGCAAAAGGCAGGAAGCAATCAAAGCCGTAAATATCAAAGTGGCTAAGCGGCTTAGTGAACCCGAGGCATTAAATATTTAGCAGGTTCTTTACTTAAGTGTACTACTTCCTCCCACCTCGGTGTGGCTAAGGATTTTTCCTTCCTTCGGTTTACAGCTCAGTCTGCACACAGAGGGGACTCTTGGCTTAGTGGGCTTTTTTTAGACAGAGGAAATAGCACCACTTTGGCTCTCGCTTATTTCCATCTATGTCTATCAGTCTTCCTAATCTGGCCCAGCACTTTTCATCTCGTTTAAAAGTATCGAACCCTGCATTTCACCCTTTTTTTTTTTTTGTCATACAAGCTACATCTTTTGGCGGGGGGGGATAACATGCAGGGATCAGAGCTAAAACATTGAAATGCAGGGTGCAAAGGTCTGAACATTGCTGACTTTGGAGCTTTAAAACTCATTTTGACTTCTGAGTGCAATAGAAATTAAAAATTAAAAATGGCTCTCTCTCTCTCCTCCCCTCTTGAGGACTTGCAGGGTGGGCAGTATGGTACTTAAATTTGAGGGTATCATTGAGACTCTTAAAAACACATCAAGGAATGAGCGCTTTTGTAAACGAGGAAGTTTGACTTCCAAGCAATTTATGTGTATGTGTCACAACATGTCAAATATATCAAAACGTGAAGTTGTCCTCTGAAGTGTGCTGTACAGAAATGCATGTACTGCGAATACACATTAGGGAGCCAGGAAGCACAATGATTCATTAAGCTGGAGAGTTTCTTCCCTTACTTCTAAAGTAATATTCTTAAACGTTAAGAGAGGAAGATGTTGACCATTTTTGTTAGTTGCCCTCATGGTATTACGATTTTAGCGTCTTAATTAGTCAAGTCTTTCCTCTCATGTAGAATTCCCCATGCTATTAATACTATGGATAGATAGACAGAAGGAACACTGAGCCAGCAACAGGATGTTTGGTTTAATCCTTCACGTTCTACAGTCCTAGGTAAATCCAGATCATTAGTTCTCTGCCTGAGAGGTGCTTCTTGCTGAGCACCTGTGATTAAGAGCCACAGGACCGCAGTTTATGAGACCAGCAGCCCCTTGATAGAAAGGGAAGGGTTGGGCAGCCATTGCTTATGCAGGAGAAGGAGGCCAAACTGGAGAAGGGAACACAGTGCATGGAGGTGGCTCAGCATCCACGCCATAGCTGCAAGGTCTTGGGTGTGGGCTTCAAAGGGGGCACTGGGGAGGACTGTTGGTGGTAAGAAGTGTTAGTATATTTCTTAAGATGAGCCTCTCCGCCAATGCAAAAAATTTCAGTCACACCAAATTAGACCTAATAAAAGATGCCTGAAGGGTCTGAAGACAAGAATAAAAGTATAGAAATAGAAATATAGACACTAAAGATTAGAAGGTAGAAGTTTAGGATGTAGGAAAAAGGACACATAAAGCTGTAAACCTAAGTAAACTATCAACAACTTTCTCAGCAGATCACAGATCAATCTTCACAGGGATTACTTTCTCGGATGCCTGGGAAATCTCCATCACGTTAGCTATTTACAACTGACTGTTTTATTACAAGGCCAGAGCATCTCCCTGTAAACTGAGGGTAGTGGGGTAGTGTCTTGACTGTCCTTAACAAACAGTAGGTGTGAACTGAGTTTAACCTTTAGGAGACAGAGATATGTGACCTCTGGGTCAGACACTGTCTCTGTCATGGGAAACTGGCACTACCAGAGGAGAGGCATGACCTCAGTTTGTACTCGGGGATACCAGGAGACAGTGGATAAATAAAAGAAGGTTTAATTAATGAGCTCTGATAATGAAGGTTGTAAAGTATGGCAGTCAATATCTGAAAATTTACCTAAAAATAATGTGAAAGACTTTTCTTCTAAGTTCTCAGTCCAAGAATCCTAATTTATTAACCTTCTAGTGTTACAAGCAGCCCCCTTTCTGACGAATTGCTAAAGATACATGTTTTCTTGCAATTAGTGACTTTCGCTGTAGTCTCTACTAAAACATATTTCATGATGGCTGCCTAATTACTCATGGACACTAGCACTCACTCCCCTCTTTAGGGTCTCCGCTGACCAACCCAAGGGTCAGGGCAAGGTTGTAAAATTCTTTTGTTCAGGGATAATGCCTGGTGCCCCTGCTATAAAAAGTAGGTTCAAAAACCAGCCGTTGGCCACAGCCTAACAAACACCATCTCTGGCTGTGGTCTCAGCTAGCTGATAAGCTTCTGTGCCCCGCGGTGTTTTACTTTTATTTTTTATTTTTAAGTTTGCTTCTGGCTTTCCTAGGATCTGGTTTCTGGAATAAAGTTTGCTTCTGGTTTATTAGACTTGGTGGTGTTCTCATCTTTGCGCGTCCCCCCTAGACCCAACAATGCCCACGTTTAATGGAGCGCTTCTGGGTGGTCCGGGAAAGCACAAACATGGCGAAGGGAAGAGAGCAGGGGAGACCATGCAAAACCACAGAGACCACGTGTTCTTTTTTTTTGCGGGGGGAGGGGGCAGCAGTCTAAATAGCCTGTAGGAGTGGTCCTGACCCTCCCTGGGGAGGGGTCAGTGTCTGGCGGGCTTTTCCGGAGGTGGAGTCCAGACCAAGGCAACCCCCAGGGTGAGGGGCTTGAGATGGAGCTTCCTGCTCCATTCCTGCTTCATTGGCGCTCGAAGAATGGGTGCCAGGGGCTGGGGTGATGCTTTCACCCAAACATCCAAGACTTCTTGGATATAGGGGTGTCAGGGGGCTGGGGTCTCACTTTTGACCAAACAAGAAGCTTATTAGAAACGTTGTTAATACTACGGACAGACAGGCAGCAGCAAGGTAGGAGCTCCCAGGAGGAATCAAGTCTGTGTGACAGCCAGATCCTTTCTATGAGGTCCCCAAAGAGGGTTTCAGCAGGAAATATCGAGGCTCTCTGTTTCCTCGGTAGACAGAAGGGAAGGGTTAGGGGAGGGTACGTGGGACATTGCTGGTCACAGGTGGCCCTTCAATGTCAGAACCTGCAAATTCACTTCTCCAGTTGAGAAATTCAGGCACCTTGATGTCTGTTAACTGGAGTCACAGACAGTGCTCTCGGCGGGGTGCCTGTCACTATAGGAAAGAGTCAGACTGTGCTCTCAGTGGGAAACCTGTCACTGTCTGTGGAAAGGAGGTAGGGTAGGCTGGAAGTGTTAGGGTAGGCTGGAAGTGTGTGTGTGTGTGTGTGTGTGTGTGTGTGTGTGTGTGTGATGGGGTGCAGGTACTGTGGTCTGGGTCTGAGAAGCAGCCTGATTCGGAATCTAACTATTGCTTAGTCTACACTAACTAGGGAGATCCTTGTTAGGTTCAGTGTGGGCAAGTAATCAAA